CTCTCTCTCTCTCTCTCTCTCTCTCTCTCTCTCCCTCTCTCTCTCATGAGCACACACCCAAACACAAAATACCACAAACCCTTACATACATACCCAAACACAAATACCCTACGCCCTTGTACACACAATCAAACAAAAATACCCTCTCCTGTGTCCGCAGAGCTCCTCGTTTGCCAACCCAACAATAGCAGTCACGCAATTTTTTTGCTGCATTTCCCAGCATCTTATATCCAGCTATTTGCATAAACCAAATGAAACTAGTCTGCCGGGTCTGTCTCCAGGTCCTGTATTGGCTTGTTAGGGCAATATACAGTAAACTCCTCGGTTTTCAGCACTCGCACTTTGGGCACCCATTCTTCTTTTATTGGGAACATCTCAGAAGTTCAAAGGGAGAAAGTAGAATAGGAAGAGTGGGTGATCACATTACATAGGCTGGATAGTGCACCAACAAGAGATACAGGTTAGGACTAGAGGGAAACAGGGATGCATCGTCCGGAGGAGGGACTAATCAATGCATTCTGTGATTAGCAAAAGATCTGGGAGTAAAGACAGGGGTAACAGGGGCGAGCAGTGGCAAATCCTCCCCAAGATGACCAATCAATGCCGCTGTCTCAGGATTCCTCAGCTATAACAGAGGAAGGCGTTGAGTGGGTCAATCAACACTGAACCCGATTTTCAGCTATAATCAAAGCCACCTTTAAAAAAAAGAAGGGGCAAAAAAAAAGGAAGGGCCAAAAAAAAAAGAAGGGGCAAAAAAGAAGCTAGACTGGGCGATTGACCCTTACGCCAGACAGACTTTCCGTAAAGCAAACATGTGTCTCACCTGTCCATTTGAAGAGGGCCCTCCACCTGATTTCGGGTTGAAAAGAAGAGACGAACAACAACAACAACACATGTTGGTGTCAGTGAAGTCGAGGAAGAATCAACTAAAACAACCAGCACGAGCAATATGCACTTGTGAGTGTGTGTGAGTATGTTGTGTGCGCCAGTGAGCTTGTGGGTGTGTGTGAGTGTTTGTTTTATATCTGCTAAACACGACTCCACAAAACAGCAAGACTTTGACAAACTGTTTCAGACTTTCACAACAAAACTCCAGAAAGTAGCGAGGTTTTGACAGACCGTTTAAGACTTTCACCGACCCGTCAGGAGGGGAGAGAGAATGGCAAGAGAGTCACTTGCAGTGATGCTGGAAAAATGCCGTCCTCTCAAACAGAGTCATTCCCTCAAGTTCTATTAGGATTTTACAATCCATAGGGCATTTGGAGAGACATTTTCTCCTTTAAGCAGGTGAGGCCCCAAAGTTGTGGAGTTGGTTATGTTCCACAGATTGGACCTGACTGCCAACGCCTACAGGCGTGTGGTCCCCAGCCACCAGTAAAATCGGCAAGGGTTTTCCTAATGATTCACAGAACAGGTGGAGCAGATCAAGCAAGAATGAAGCACGTACCATTTGCTTGATGCTCACGTGGATTCGCCTTTCGAATAGCAAGAAGCTCCTTCAGGCGCTTAATCATGGCAGCATGCTCTTCGTTCTTTCGGTGAAGCACCTGCAATGAAGGCAGAGAACAATTCAGAGACCCGAAAGGATGAGGGAACAAAGAACATCCAAAGGAAAATGCGCTTGGGGGAGGTCAAATGAACAGCCCAGCACAATGACGAGTGGGCAGCAAGCAACAACGGGCACGAATGGACCCACCTTCTGCTGCCGCTGGCTGAGAAGCCTGACTTTGTTTAGCTCAAACTCATTCTTCCGGCCCATCCGCTTCGCTTGCAGCAGTTCCTTCTCCTTGCTAGCCTTCCAAGCTTGGAACTGATCAGCTTCTTGCTTCATCTTCCGCTGCAATTGCACCTGCAGAATGCCATTTGATCCGGTTTATTTGTCATCACGTGCAGTGGCCACATGGATATGCTAAGGATGTGAAACCCACAAACTCCAATTCCAACCTCGCCAGAAACAGAAAGACAACATACAAAGTTCACAGAGAGTCACGAACCATTGCCAACTTTCATCAGCATCAGAAACCGATATTCACATCAGGCATGAACTGGAGGAACCCGCCATCAGTCCCTTTCAAGCATGAGCTCATGCGCCTAGCATAGCATATGAAAAGCTGTCGGATTAACCCGAAAGAGTCAGACTCTACCTTTTGATATTTGATCTTCTGGATTTCTTCTTGCAGCTTCCTGGACTCCTCTTCCACACGCTGCTTCTGCCTCAAAGCTTGTTTACTCTGTGCTTGCTTCTTCTTCAACTCGAGCAGCTGCGGATGTATCATCAAGGAAACACAACGTTAGAGACACAGCAGCATAGAAACGGATGTATCATCAAGGAAACACAAGGTTAGGGACACGATAGCATAGAAACATACAACGGTCATCAGTTTCATCGTCCATCATGAAGGAAACCAACATACGTTGGAGACATTCACCAAACTCGTTCCTTGAACTAACCATCTTCGAAAAAAGTGAAGTTTACCTGTGTAGAAGCGCCTCCAAAGTCGACAGACTTACTGTACATATGCGTTACAACTTACAAGTTAAATTCCTAAGCTTCCGATTTCTCACAGCTTGCAGAGACAGACCACTTACGTTTTGCTCCAATTCCCGCAATTTCGCCTGCTGATGTTCGACCACCTTACGGTGGTCATCATCCGTTGAGCTTGCATTTGTCTCCAGCGCCTTGGCAAGTGCATCCCGCTCAGCCTACAAATACAGAGCCAAAATAGCGATCGAACCCACTTAAGAACAGAGAAAAACTCCACCCTGGAGGCTTTCACTCAAGAGCATGCAGAGAGCTATACTGGCCATGACTACAGCTACATATTCAGACCATACATAATTCAGCGGCCTTTCACGAAACCTTACAAGGCCGTGCCCCAAGCAGCATCCGAAACAGCCTAGGAAAAGAGGAAAAACCTGTCTAACACCCCACTGTTGCACAGCGTTCAAAGGCAGAGAGAAAAACACTCACGGTGATGAAACACTATGAACCATAGGCAATGGAGAGCAACTAGCATGCAAGGCCGATGAAACAGTGTCCGACTGCATTTTATAAAAAAAAACATGCCGATGCACCGAACCCAGTCTCGTCTTAGTTACCTGAAGATTACGCCGCTCTTCTTCCATCTCAGCAACAACCTTCTCATAATGTTGCCGGACAGTCACAAGACGATCATCTGCCATCTTCTTCATCATTTCCTGCAAACATGTGTTTAACAATACAACACCCGTTCATCAACATGCTCCACGATAACGACAACCACCAAACAAACGCCGACATCGACACCAGCTGCAGACCACATTCTTCATCTCCTACGTATCTGCTTWTCTTTTGTTTATTTCATTTTCCTCACTCCACCGATTATGCACACAGACAGCAACGCAGGTGGGTGTAGTCTGCAAGCAGCAGTAAGGGAGGAAACCTTTTATATTGCAAGCACATATAGACCTCACAGATCCCCTTCAGAGGGGGCAATTCCTGCAAACATGTGTTTAACAATACAACACCCGTTCATCAACATGCTCCACGATAACGACAACCACCAAACAAACGCCGACATCGACACCAGCTGCAGACCACATTCTTCATCTCCTACGTATCTGCTTWTCTTTTGTTTATTTCATTTTCCTCACTCCACCGATTATGCACACAGACAGCAACGCAGGTGGGTGTAGTCTGCAAGCAGCAGTAAGGGAGGAAACCTTTTATATTGCAAGCACATATAGACCTCACAGATCCCCTTCAGAGGGGGCAATTCCTGGCGACTCAACAGATCATTCCCAATCACGCAACCCTCATTCTAGCCGGCAACTTTAATAGAACTCTCGACCATCTGCCACATAGGAAGTCATCCTCCTCACGGACGGAGGATCATCCCGAGGCTCGCTCCCCAACAGACACAACTCGATGCGTCATTATTCAGACAAGGGCAGATCTGCAGTGACAGATGCCTATCTGGAGCAGCAGCCAAGTAAGCGAGCCTACACTGCCTGAGATCAAGACGGGAGGCAGCTCACTCCAGTTCCAGACTTCACCTCTTCGCAGTGGTGGGAAAATTCGTCGATAAGGCCATTTCGAGCTTCCGATCATAGGATGCTTGCACTCAGGTTCTCTTTCCACTCCCATGTTTCGAAAGGCCAAGGATACTAAAAGTTGAACTCAGCTTTGCTGACCCTAACGACCTTCGACACTCTGGTCAAAGAATTTCGACACTATTGAGCCACCGAGAAAGCTGACCCTACCGACCTTCAACACACGAGTCAAACAATTTTGGCAAAACTGAGCCACCGAGAACCCCGAGAAAGGGTAATCAATGCTGGTCAGCCATAACTATAATGCGCTCATGTATGTATATCAAGGGACGCTTGACCCCATTTCCGGCAGGTGCCGCTCCCCATAATAAATAAGATTGGAGTCATCACAGGGGAGGTTGCTCATTATCCAGGGATACTCGTATCACCCTCAAGAATGGGCCTACTATACATTTCTTTTTTCAAAAAGAAATAGAAAACGACAACGCAGACAACTTTTTCGAGATACCCACCATGAGAGAGATGCACTACATCAGAAAATGATCACAAAGTATATGGTGTTGGATATATCCTGCAGGCACCTTTAAGACCGCACAGATGGGATATACTGCGAACGACGGAGTGGGCCAGTGGAAATGTCTCACCTCTTTCTGTTGCAGATTAGTGTCGAGTTCTTCCATCTCCCTTTTCATGCGACATTCAGCCAGCACGTACTGCTCCTCCATCGCCTTAGAAATAGCATTCACTTCATTCTCCCTTTCGGATATGTTATCGCTATCCACTACAAAATGGCAGCACATAACCCAACATTTAGGAAAACAGCAACGTCAGCAACAGACGTAGATTAACAGCAAGGTCAGCAACAATGGTAGATTTCTCCATTTTCACATTGCATCTCACCAAACTCCATCTTCCACAGCAACAAGGATGCATCTCACCAAACTCCATCTTCCACAGCAACAAGGATGCATCTCACCAAACTCCATCTTCCACAGCAACAAGGATCAGGACCTCGTAAAAATACGAGCCAAATGCGCCAAATAGACTGTGTCTTCTACTAGAACGTGGAAAGCTACACCGGCCATAGCTTGTCTTCTTCCAATTTGGTGAGTGTTAGGGCGAAGCCCTGAACCCCATAGGGCAATCCACCCATTAATGAATCATATGCTCTCCAGAGGAGGGGTGAGGGGGGGAGGGGGGGACATGAAGCTGAAATATTGCAAGATTTCAGGAACCAGAATGAGAAAAAGGAATCAGGAGGCGTCAGCTTTACCTGTGCCAAGGAGAGGGCTGCCCGGCATGGCAACACCTTCTCCAGCAGTTCCCTCCAGCCCCATGTCACCCGGACTTGCAGGGACAAAAGACCCAGTGGCCGAAGACACAGGGTACATCAAGCTTGCAAACTGGAGTTGCTTCATCAACGCCTCATTCTTTTCAGTTAGCACCTGGATCTCCTTGAGGTACCCATCTACCAAAGTCGAACTGGCAACCTGAAACAGCAACCGCATAGACGTATTTCATCAGGTCTCCATCTCTAAACATACAGCAATCATTGCATGTTCCGACAAAGGCTGCATGTAGGATCATCCACGCCGAGTTTAGAACAAGTTCGGATGTCACAATGCATATGGAAATCAATTCACGCCAAGACTCGCCATATATACGGACAACAAAACTACTACGCTTCTGCTTGTAAGACTTAACCGTCTTCTGCACAAGGACCTGAAATGAACCAAACAAGAGCAGGAGAGGCAAAACCAGCGTACAGGCATGACACAAAGCCGCAGAATGCAGTTGGAGAGATTGGAAGGGCGTACACTTAAAGAGTGATAGAAAAAGTAGAGAAGGTGCAGAACAAAAGAAGCCATGGCGGCCACAGAAAGGATCAGCATTGACAGTGCCCCTCACCTCTTCCGCCTCTTCGGCAGACTTTCCACTTAGCACGGCCCCAAACTTGATTTTGTAACGGTCGCGTTCTGCCTGCACATCCATCCAACAAGGGACATTTCCCCAGAGTCAACATCCTCACTAACTTCACTACAAGTGGTGCCAGGAATTCTCATCAAGCTATATAGACCCAATACCAAAGACCACCTCCTTGCTTCGACATCACGCCATGACCATGAGACACACGAAACCCCAAAGGGAAGCAGCAAACATGAGAGTGAGCAAAAAAGCTAAGTACCTGTGCTTCGACAACTTTCTTTCTCTCCGTTGTCAGGCTCTCCTTGACCTCGGCAAGCTCCCGCTTGACTTGCTGCAGCTCAGCTTCGAGCCCTATATTCTGGATGCGCAAGCTCTGCACAAAGAACCACCGAAATCGCAGAGTGAACAACAGAACCGATATAGGAGGACATACAGTACACGCCTCAACGCAACAGAAAACAGACTTCAGTGGCAGAAAAGCTTGGAGTCCCTGTAAGACTTGCAAACTACCATACCTGCACATCTTCTCCACTGGACGCTTCTCGGAGGCACTGCAATTGAAGCATTAGCATCTCGTTTTGCGACCTGAGACGAACCAGCTCAGCGGAAGATGGGTTGCGATTAACCTGCATTCACACAGGGGTTTAACCACAAGAAAAAGATTAGATGAGAAGGGGGCAGAAAATCCAAGTAAAAAGGCAACGAAGGAGCAAGGACTAAACGAAGGGAAAATATAAACCAGCTTCGACGAAGACAAAGAAAAAACTGAAGTGACCAGAGAGAAACGAATGGATGCGTCAGCATGTATGAACAGAGATATACAGGTGGAGATTACACAGGTACAGGAAGCGAGAGAATCGAAGGAGACAGTGTGCAGCTACTGGGAAGGGAACAAACAGAGAAGAAGATCATGCGCAGGTAATCATAATTACGAGAGAGCCATAAGACAGGGAATGATACGCGCACTGGCAATTGCAAGGCAGAGAACAGCATAGACAGATGATGCGGAAAGCATCCGACAACCTAGTGCAGCATTCAGAAATCACACGAGTTGCAGTTCTACAACGATCCAACAATGGAATAAATAATTGGAATACATAAGAAATTAGAATGATTTTTCAACAAAAATAAGCATATCAATTGTCAGTTGGCTGCAATACCTACCATGGGTTTGTTGCGGATGTTACGGGCACGGTTGGCATACTTGAGAGTGTTCAGGGTCTCGTCCAGATTGACATCAGCCGGACTGACGCAAGCTGTGCATCGCCATCACATAAAAAGGTCGACAAAGGCAAGCCAGGTGAGATGTATGCAACAACAAAACAAAAACAATCATTACAGCAGGCAAATTAGAGGAGCATTGCCCAATATCTGGATGATGGGTATATAATGGAATGACGGCACAAAAAGGGGGAACAACAAGAGAAACAGGGAACCAAAACCGTCGCGTCACAACTGCTGGACTGCAAGCAATACAGCCATTTGGACCACACGCGTTGCATAAATCGCCCCATACACCTCCGATACGCATTCCTGTGTTCCCCAGGATTGAACCTTCGTAATAGACATGAACGAAAACCGTCGCCTGAGGAGTAATGGATTGCAAGCCATGCAGTCACTTGGACCAGACCTGTTGCTGAAATCACCCCATAAAACTCTGGAAACCATTCCTCTGTTTCCCAGGTTCTAAAACCTTCGCTATGCACATGGAAGGAGGCCACCACTTGAGGGCCTTGGTACAGACCTGAACAGAAGCTTGAAGTCCAGACCTTACCTTCCCAAAGCAACGAGGCCTGGTACCGCACCTGGTTTCTGGCAGTCCAGTGGGGGAAATCAGCACCTCTTGCAGTCGCTACGTCGTTGAAAAAGAGGCCCTCCCAAGTAGGTGTGGTTTAAGAGAGATCATTTTGTACACCAAATCCTTGCAGCACTGGGAAGGGAGAATTGCAGACTTCACTCGGAATCCGCTCACCAGAACGAAGCATAGGAGAGTCCGCAAGAATAATGACAGAGGTACGAGGATTCGAGTAAAGATCAGCCATGGCAAGCAAACAAAAAAGACAAAAACGTAAAAGAAAGAAAACTAACAAGAAAAAATCCCCCCCGCCTTCCCCCCCCTCCTCCCTCCTGCCCGTTTCAATGCATGTCACAGGTTAACCAATGGAACCATAACAATTCCATTTCGTTCGAAAGTTGGGAAAACTCCTCAGCGATTATAGCTACAAGAGAATATCGGCTTTATGTGTGTGTTAAAAAATATATATATATCTATCGTCACAAACAGAACTGCCCGGTAAAACCGTAGGCAGAGAGAGAGAAGAGGACAACAAACGAGGGGCTGTGACAAACTGTTTCGTCGGAGTTTCACCGACTCATCAGGAGGCTGAACCCTAACAGTCTGCA